TTCCTGTTAATAAAAAATAATTTTCATGAGTAAAAAGCACAAAATATTGGATTGAGAATCTGACGTTTGCCAAAACGTTTGTCAGAAGAAGATATCATTACCATCAGAATTATGTGAGATTATCGTTGTGAGACATGTTGTTATACTTATTATGAGACTATTATAATATTCAAATATGAAATTGACATTGCCGAAGTTCAAAACTTCAGAATTCTTCTAACAAAATTATACTAAAAGAAATTAAAAATTAATAAACGGGTATTTTCAATCAAATTCCGATCAATTTTTATATCTGATCAAAATATCCGAATAAATTTTATTAGATACTTCCAATCATAATGGCATTTCATCAAATAAACCGATGAAAAAATTATAAATTGAGATTTCTCAGCGGATGTTTCCTGATCAGATATAAAAATTCATCGGTATTTTATTGGAAAATATGAGTTTGTTAATTTTTTATCGGATAATTTCTCTCTGTATACATATCCTTGCTTATATGTGAAACAATGATTGTTAGCTTGAATGTAGCAGTTTTATGAATATTAATGAATATTAATTTGTTTATTTATCCGAAATATTTCATAACGATATCGGGCGATGGAGAGGCATATGTGAACGAAATTAATTCTCCATATAAGGATAGAATAATTAAACGCACTTCCGACCCGTTGCTAATCAATCCGGATTGAATGAGATCGGATTGGCAGAAAACGAATTTAATTCAATATTAAGTAAACTGATTTCGTCGGTTTATTTATCCGCGGCTATAGCGCAACATTTCCATATCGAATCATTGAAAAAAAAATGAGAAAGAAACGCGATTTCCAACGTGAGGATGATAAAATGTCGCCGGGATAACTCGCGCGCGATTACGCGGGGGTAGAATTACTTGGCGGCGATTACTTGGCGAGCGGTGAAATGGTTCTTAATTGGCGGGAGCACAGCGGCAGTCAAACTGCATCATTCATCGGATGATCATCAAGCGATGACGAGTCCCGGGCGACTGAGTGACTCCGGCGAAATGATTCGGCGGCGCGTTACATAATTGTCAGGCCAGTCAGTCATCGGGGTGGCGAGTTTTCCGGGCTCGGTGGATTCCGGGCTAACAGGCGCGGCAATAAATTATAAAAGATGATCGGTAATTAACAGTAACTGCAACTGGGTAGCGTTTATGCCGGCGCTATGGAATATACGCCCGCCGGTGCCTGTAGCTGACTCTTTATGGTGGGGTGTGCTCGTGACGTGAATTATTAGCCCTTGGGCCCTGCTGAGCCTCGGGCTTGTGTGCGCGCGTCCATGTATGTGCGTATACGTGTGTGTGCGCGTATTTATGTGTGAGTTCCGTCGCGGGCGTGGCCTGACGGGGGTGTCGGGCGTGGCTACGAGCCAACCTCGAAAAAGCCACCCTTGAGAGAGAGACAGAGAGAATGCACGAAGAGAGAGAGAGAGAGAGAGAGAGAGAGAGAGAGAGAGAGAGAGAGAGAGAGGGAGAGAGAGAG